TAAATCATTGTCTCAGTTACCAACAGAACAAAACAGAAATATATATAAGGACCGCACCAGTCGCACCCCCTAAGGACGGCACTGGCTGCAGTCTAATATTTTTGCCATTTAGAGCTGGAGGGCACATATTTTTTTTAAAGCTATTTTAATATATGTGAGAAAACGGGGGTGTGGTATTAAAAATAGCTTTTAAACTCTGTCACATCTGATTCATGTGTGTTATCTCATTGTCTCAGTTACCAACAGAAAAAAACAGAAATATATATAAGGACCGCACCAGTCGCACCCCCTAAGGACGGCCCTGGCTGCAGTCTAATATTTTTGCCATTTAGAGCTGGAGGGCACATATTTTTTTTAAAGCTATTTTAATATATGTGAGAAAACGGGGGTGTGGTATTAAAAATAGCTTTTAAGCTCTGTCACATCTGACTTCATATGTGTTATCTCTCCTCACAGTGATGGTTCACAGGAAGCATTTGATCCGTATTATAGTGAGAACTACAGCGAGAGCTCATCTCTTTCCTGCCATGAGTCACATCGAAGCCTGGCCTCCACACACAGCGACTCTGAGCCCTGTAATGCCAGTCTGCAGGAGTACATGATCATTGTAAGATGCTTACACACATAAAATGATGTAATACAAGTGACACTTCACCTAATGAAAATTCTGTCATCATTTACTCACCCTCATGTTGTTGTATATACTGTATATACACACACACTGACACACACAATGTATTTTGAAGTCTTTTGAAGCCATATTATGCTCTGTGTGAGGAACAGACTGAAATTTAAATAAAAATGAAAATTTTTTAGTCTAAAATTTAATTTGCACTTCATAATTTTTCATTGAATTAAAACAAGCAGACTCACAAATTCATATCTCTTGTTAAGGTGAAATTCTCTGGCTGGTGCCCCAGTATAAAATCTGACATGCACATAGTGTACACACCTTTAGTGACATGTGACCAAACTCACCACGCCACTTTTAAAAATAAAAGATTCCAAAAAGGGGTTTTAGTAGCAGTGCCATAGGAGAACCATTTTGGGTTCCCCAAAGAACAGTTCTTAAAAGAACCGTTACTTTCTTAGTGTGAAGAAAACGGATTTAGATTTAATAATCTGAGAAATCTTTTCCCACTAAGCTTTTGTAGAAGCATTGTATGTTAAAGGGTTAGTTCACCCTAAAATGAAAATTCGGTCATTGATTAATTACTCACCCTCGTGTAGTTCCAAACCCGTAAGACCTTGGTTTTGAACGTGTCAGTTGTGTTGCTGTCTATGCAAGGTCAGAATGCTCTCGGATTTCATCAAAAATATCTCAGTTTGTGTTCTGAAGATGAACGAAGGTCTTACGGGTTTGGAACGACATGACGGTGAGTAATTAATGACAGACTTTTCGTTTTTGGGAGAACTATCCCTTTAAAGGTTCTTCATGGAATCATAGATGCCAATAAAGAATCGTTATTGTATAAACTTTAGTGAATAAAGTATTTTTGACATTTTGCCTAATAATGTGGTTCCCAACTTTTGGAAACACAAAATTAATCATGGTTATTTTAAAATAGCAGTACTCCCAGTTCCTGGTAATGAAAAGTTATGAAATCAAGCAGCCTTGAGGGGTTGAAATAACATGAGGATGAGTAAATGACAGCATTTTTATTTGTGCGTGAACGATCCACTGCAGTTATCCATAATATTATTGTCTCTTTATAGTTCTGTCGTATTATAGTTCTGTGTCCTGTTCTCATTGGTTAGTTGAGGAGTAAGCTGATGCCTCAGGAAATTCAGCAGTTTGCTCTGTTTCTAAGAGAATACAGACTTGGTGCTCCGATAGAGCAGTTCTGCACTGACCTGCTGCAGCTCTATGGAGACTCACGCAAGTTCCTGCTGCTTGGTGAGAAACTCACAACACAGAATACAATCTACAAGTCACGGTAGATTCTCTCTCTTTCTCCTTCTTTGCCTCTTGAGGAATTTGAGTGCCTGTTTAAATCCCCAAGGGGTGTGTTTGTACGACTGGGTTTATTTCATTATGAAGTCTGAAGTCATATTTCAAAAGTCGTGATTTTTTTGGATATGGCATTGTATTCAGAGTTTCTGTAATTGTTGTCTATCATTAGCTCATTAGAGGGATTAGAGTAACATAAAGCCTAATGAATATTCATGAGCACCTGGCTTTCACTGGAGCAGTCATGGTGCAACAGCCTTTCCAACAACATCACACTTTCACAGTGTGACAGAATTACAAAACTTTCTACTAACACTAGCCGCTGTGGGAAAAGAAACATGATACAGCCTATAAATAACTCTATGACCACGATTCAAAACTATAAATAACTCTGTAACTGTGATCCCAGATTTGTCACAAATACATATTTAGATAGTGAGTCATTAAATACTCAAAATGGATTGTACATAAATTCCCACTGCGACACAAATTTGTCCAACCTGATTAGAAAGACCTTGTAGATGTTACTTCTGAAGTGAGTTGGTAAAGGATAAAGCAAATTGCAGGGATTGTGTGCAACAGAGACACAATTACATAACACTCACTGAGCCACTTATACCTCTGCTGGCCATAGACTCATCTAACCTGACTCGCAAGCAAAAGGCTGAGTCAGCTCGATACAGCTCTGGACGAGTGTGAGACTGTCTGCGCTTTCGCCATTCAGACCATTCAGTATTGTTAGTGTGAATTTATAGAGTAGAGTTACAGTGTTGAATAGAGACAATTAATCACAAACGTGAATGCTGCCACATTCTCACAGGAAAAAAGCAGTTTAAATGTATTTACTGTCACTTTTGATTAATTGAATGCATCCTTGCTGGATAAAAGTGTGATTTACTGAACTCAAAAGTTTGAATGGTAGTGTATTTTAAAAAAAAATACATCTTTAAAATGTATTTATTTTAAGTTTTCAAAATGTTTGCTTGTTAATGTGACTAACAATACGTATTCCCAATTATAATCCAACAAATTCATGCTAAAAATAAATAAAAATAAAAATAAAAGTCTAAAAATACAGACTTGCATGGTGCATTCTCACGTATTTCCTCTCTCATGTGAGCAGGCATGAGGCCCTTTATTCCAGATAAGGATGTAGGAGTGTTCGAGACGTTTCTGGAAGACATTGGGATCCGAGAGGGTGGGATTTTGATGGACAGTTTTGGCCGGATCAAGCGGAGCATGAGCAGCACATCTGCCACAGCAGTCCGTGGCTATGACGGCTGGACTCTTCCTTCTGGTTCCCAGGATTTTAACCACAGAATTTATGACATCACACACAACATTGAGGCTTTAGGCTTTGAGGAGGGCAACGGAGACATAGAAGAAGAGGATTATTACCTGTGAAACATACAGAATGAACTGACATGTATATATAAGCCACTGTATATTTGAAATTGCACTGGAGAGTTTTTGAAAACAGGGTTTAGGTCACATATTTCTTTGATTTTATATATATATAATGTAAAAGAATTCAAACTCAATTAGTTAAACATTTACAGTATACAGTATGTGCACTTTATTGGGCCATATTGAGTGCTGCTGATGAAAAATGGGCCTTTTGCATCCTATTTGCATTTGTAAATCTGCGTATTATTTGCATGCAAGTTTGGTTATTTCATGTTCTGCGTGAATGAGTTACAAAAGAGCACCAATGCAGTGAGGAAGTGCCAGAGAGGACATAAGTAATTACGTATTATTTGGAGAGTTATTTGGTCACTTAGACATAAAAGGAGAAAAAGAGAACGCAATCATATAATATTGACGACAGTGATGATGATGATGGTGATGAAGAGTTTTCTTCCAGCCAGTGCACATTACACAGTAATCTGCTGGAGCCGGAGGGTCATTGACTATGGCTGCTGTCTGCAGGGAGAATAACTCATGAAAAACTCAGCCTTGACATTCTTTCCAGTGACACTGTCACCTTGCCACAGTCTGATGCCCTTCCCTCTTATCTATGCCAACCACAGAAGGTTGATGGGCACTGCGCCCAGCATTGGGGGTTATCAAAATGGCACATACATTTGTCAGGCTAAACGTTTGTTATGTAATGGAACCGGGCAGAAGAACAGGGCCAGACAGGGTTTAGATTAAAGTTAAACCTCTTCTCACACCCGAATAATCTTATAGTCAAACCAGCGGGGGGCAACAGGGAACATTTGTCCCAGTCCCTGTGATAAAGAGGGCCAACTGAGGTCCTCTGTGGAATATCTTAGTCAGTAGGTCAGAGGATGGAGGGCCCATGCATTATTATTAAATTCTTTATACTTTAACTGGCAGTCCTGATTGGAATAAAGAGCTGACTGACTTCACAGTACTGTTTATAATAGTTTAACACTGTAAAATGTAATAAAGTAAAATGTTGTGATACATACCTAAAATGTGTCTAAAGGACGCGTTTATTTTGCTACTCTTTGTGACCCTGGACCACAAAACCAGTCATAAGTAGCACGGGTATGGGTATATTTGTAGCAATAGCCAACAATAACATTGTATGTGTCAAAATTATCAATTTTTCTTTTATGCCAAAAATCATTAGGATATTAAGTAGAGATCATGTTCCATTAAGCTATTTTGTAAATTTCCTATTATAAATATATCAAAACTTAATTTTTGATTAGTAATATGCATTGCTAAGAACTTCATTTGGACAACTTTAAAGGCGATTTTCTCAATATTTTTATATATTTTTTTGCACTCTCAGATTCCAGATTTTACAATCTCTGCCAGATATTGTCCTATCCTAACAAGCCATACATCAATGGAAACTTCAGCTTTCAGATGATGTATAAATCTCAATTTCAGAAAATGGACCCTTTTGACTGGTTTTGTGGTCCAGGGTCACATATAACAACAAAGCGTCAAAAACTGCATCTCCAGTCCTTCAATTTCTCTCTCTTCTGTCAGAGCGCGCCTGTGAAATTATTTCACACGCGCTATGACTCATCAGCCAATCAAATCCGCGCACGCTCTATCTATTTACTAAAATCCTGTCCTCTAAGCCAAACAGGTGCGAGTGGGCGTGTCCAGGCGAGTCGCGCCGGGGTAGAAACAGAACCGAGCAGCAGCGGATACGGTTTATTCGAGAATGGCGGCTGCTGCGTGTAGTACGCAGAGCACTCTGAACCCATGCACTGGCAAACTGCACAGAGAGCATCTGCGGAAAAGTAAAGATTCGCGGAGGAGACAAGCTGCGCTTTTGTTTCTCACTAATATATCATTGGACGGTCGGCCTGTGCGGAACAATGTGAGCGCAGCGGGCCCAAGTGATGCCGAGTTTCAGTGCTCTGACAACGGCGCGACTGTGAGCGAACTGTCCGCTGCGGCGAGTAGCGATGGGACCTTCTCCAGCCTCTTTGTCCCCAGACTCGGGCTGCTCAACGTCCCGCCCATCCTGGTTCTGCCGTCGGATTCTGGGTTCAGTAACGCCGGGAGCACCGAGATGTTCCTGGAGAGGGAGAGGGAGAGGGGCTCGTTCTCCTCGCAGAGCAATCTCCTGTCCCCGTGCAGTCTGCAGCCCAGTCCGCTCGGAGCGCGGAAGTCTCCGACGCTGCTGTCAGTGCAGAGCTGCGGCTCTTCGCTGGAGTCTCGACCGCGGTGGGTTCTGCACAGGTTTCTTAACGGGGGGGTTCACTTTAGAGGTAGTGCGAGATATGACAGTTTAATGCATTCTGATTACATAAACTTCTGAAAAAGACAGTCCACTTGGCCGTGTCACCTAGGCAGCCTATTTGGGCATCATATGTCATGTGCACTGTCAAGTTGGCAAGTTACTAGGGTAATAAGTTAACGTTATGTTTTTTATGTTATTATTTGACTTTGAACATAAAGCTATTGATGCTTAAATTGTTTAATTGTTAATATTAATATATTAACACTTTTCAGAATTAATATTTTGTTAGTTTTGTGGTCCAGAAAGTAACTATAATATTTTGTCAAAATGTAGAAAAAAGAAGCAGTTCTGCATATCAGATTTCATACATTTTAATATTGAAACATAATCAGTATAAAAAGCAAATCTAATGCTATAAATATTTTTTTGTAAGATATACGAAAAAATTAAGGTGGCCCTAATGCTGCATTTCATTTACTGTCAGAAAAGGCTATATTTTAAAATGGCTTTTTAAATTGCACAAAATGTTTTTTTCTTCCTTTACCATCCCTTTCACAGCTTACTTTGCGACACTCATTTTTGTGATGCAAAGAAATGTTCAAACATTACATTTTCACGCTTTATATTAGTGTTCTTTTTACTTATTGCATAAGTACCGAGTAATACTGATGATTAATATAAAATTAATGTGTATTTTGTTTCTGGGGCTTAATATAATTGCACAGTTTATTGATTTTTTTGTAGTTAAATATTACAGCATTAATATGGACACATAATGTAAGGTGTTAGTCAATACTCTGACCAGTCTGAATGGGCTTGTTTTGTAACCGATTTGACCCAACCTGCATATTTAGAGGGAGAGGCACCATAGAGTCATTCAGACTAATGATATGAGTGGTTGGAAATGTTTATATAAAATGTGGCGTAATGTTGCCAACCTCAACATTCACTTCATTCTTTTATTATTTACTAGAAATTTCAAAGAACTTGTTACAGAGAATCATGTGCAGTATACACTAAACACAAAGCATATGTGTAATTGTGTCTATAGTTAGAGAAGCTTTAATGTTTCTTCATGATTTTGAGTCATTTACCATATCTGTCCAGTCAGAGTCTAATTTGTTTGTGCTTTAAATATACACCCCTATTTACAGTGAATTAATCATCTGGAGTTACGTGATCTCTAGTTTTGAAACACACCTTTGTCCGGTTTGCTTCCAGAATATCACTTTGACAATTTTAAAAGTGTTTTGTTGATGTTTTTAAATATATTAATTAGTGTTGTCAAAAGACCCGGTATTTCGGTACCCAGTCAGTACTAAAAAAATGAAACCGTTACGGTACCAGGTTTTTTTAAGTACGCTCAACCCGGTTCTTGATGCGCTATCCGAAATCTAGCCTCTTCTAGTGTTGCCAAGTCCGCGGTTTTCCCGCGGAATTGGGCTGCTTTAACACTGTTGCCGCGGGTTGTTTTTCATGTCCGCGGGTTGAAAAACGACCCCATTAACGTGATATTTAGCCCCTGGAATGCGAATTTTACCAGGGAAACCCCGCCAAAACACGCGTATTTTATCCTCGGAACGCGATTTTTAAGGGGGAACCCATCGAAACGCGATTGGGCGGGTTTTGTTGTGAAAACCTGGCAACCTCTTCATAAAAGCAGTGGCGACCTCAAGAGGAGGAAACGCAGCAAACTAACAAAACACCCCGATCAAGTTCAAGCAGGTAAGTTTCAATTACATTTTTAATATTTAGAGCTTCTGTTCTGTTATGAATATTATTCCATATTTTAATTTGAATTTCGGATTGAAATAAACATCGCCGTTAGCGTATACGTAGTTAATCGTTAGCATAAGCGCGGCTAACGCTAATATAATGAGCATTAGAATTAATTTTGTTCATTTTGTTCAAAATTATTTCTTTGTTAACTATTTAATGCTCCTATAACTGTTATTACTGTAAAAAACAGGAGGACATAATGGTATTTACTATTTTTACACACCAGAGGCTTTTAAATGAACTGTGTAACCAAAATATGGTTTCCATCTATTTGATATACACTTAATATATGTAATCTTATCTAAATTTCTTATAAAAGCTGAGGTTTGTTATTTTCTGAAAAGTTATATTTTATCTGGTGTCAATGATCTAATGTTGCATTTGGTCAGACTCAGCCCATTGCTTTACTGAAGTATATTATATTTTCCTTTTACAGCTGCAGACTGAGGAGGAAGATCCTGAAACACACCAGCAAACCCTAAAACAGACAACAGTTTACAGGTGTTTTTCAGTGGCAGCAGAACTATGACTAAACTTTTGGGTGAAACTTGTTTATACTTGTGTTGAAAAACTTGAAACAATTGGCATTGGATGGCATTGGTTTTGTACATTTAATTTTTGTTTAACGTTATTAATAAAAATGTTGTTCAATTAGCATGTTTTTGTGTTTTGCTTTGGTACCGAAATTGGTACCGAGAACCGTGGATTTTCACTGGTATCGGTACCGAATACTGAAATTTTGGTACCGTGACAACACTAATATTAATGAACTTTGAAGTTGCACTGATCTACGGATAGAAAATGAGGGTGAACTGACAAGCCACCACCATAGATTTTATCTGCTTGACTTTTAAATGGTGTTCCAGAGACGCAGAAGTATGCGAAAAAGACTGTGTTTTCATTCTCACTAGTACTCTCATTGACCACAGACTGAACAAACCCCTTTCTGGAATACAGATGACTTCACAGCAAATAAACCTTGCCTAAAAATGGCCATTTGTGCGTTAAGTTTTCAGCTTTGGTTGGTTTATCTCTCCACATGAGGAAGTGAAAAAACTTGTCATACACACAGTGAGAGAATGGCGTTTATGTTTAGCTTTTAATCTAAACTTTAATCCCCCCCCCCAAAACCCTCTTCCCACTTTTGCTTTAAAAGGGTGCGGTTGTGACATGTAGATTCAAACCAGACTGACAGTCACGGCAGACATTTGCTTTGCTTTATCAGTTGGAGCTTTTAGGTCAGTCCGTGCTGCATATAAGGGTGGTGATGCTCTTCCAGCGCTGCACGCTACTTTGTGCACACAGTACCTACAGAGATTAAAGCTTAAGACATTGTCATATTCTCAACCCTTCAAAGGGTCTCTGCAGGCCTGAGGGAATGAACCGTCTCTGCACTGGAGAATAAATCAGGGCTACATGAACTTGCTTGATTCAAATGTTGCGGCTTCTTAAAATGGTTCCAGTAAATGCATCCAACATGCATTTAAATTGACCTTTCCTTGCTTAAAAACAACCTCTCGGAGTAAGTTGTCTTTGTGGAGCGTAGAGAACTTGAATAACCGTTCTTAGCATGGACACTGAGAGATGTGACATTCAAAATAAAGATGGTTCGAATAGTACAACAAGTAGGAGCTTGTTGACCACAATTGCCAAATTCTAAGCCTCATGCATTGTCAAAATGCTTTGAGGCTTTAAACTGTTCATAGTTGCTCAAAAGAGAGCTGTTTTCTAATCAATAGTTGGAAGATTTTTGCATGTTGTTTAAATGTTTTTTTTTTTTTTTTTGAGTTTGCCAAAAAAGGCCTGTTATATTCAGTGTTAGCGTTTGAACATGATTCCCTGTGGTAACTTTAGAAATGGTGAATCTTACTGTCTCTTCATTTTAATGTTCTCACATTGAGCTCTATTACACATGCCTCTTTTTCTGATGAAGAAATTAAGTTTTATGAAGACATTCTCCAACCTTAATAAATACCTTAAATTCTATCAACATTTGCATACCCTGTTGAAAACGTGAGAAATTTCTGTCCTTCCATTGAAAGTTCATTCCAACAAAACTTTGAAGCTTCAGAAAGTGCACAAAAGCATCACAAATATGCATCAAGCACAAACATTTGAGAACGTTTATATATAGAACATTTATTTATTTATATATAATTATGGAATAAGGTTTTATGGGTTTCGAACAGCTTAAAGGGATTGTTCACCCAAAATTGAAAATTCTGTCATCATTTACTCACACAAGTACATGATGAATTTTTTTTTGTTTTTGGTGAATAATCTCCTTTTGTGTTCTTCTGTTGCAAGTTAAAGTCAAATTTAAAGTTTTGAATAGTAATTTTGAAGAATTTTTGTGCATACCTAGCCACTAGTTGAAGAATTGTGTATCGCTTGACTTCTGTCACTCTTGTTCTGGGCATGCTAAGAGGAAAACATATCTGTGTAATGTCATTAGTTATGTATAGTAATCTTTAATCTACACATGACCGTGAAAACTGTTGATTCTTCTTGTTTAGGGGAAGTCCTTTATATGTGAGTTAATAACTGAATGGGTGTATCCGTGTATAGGGAAGTGGCCTTGTTTGCAGACTGACCTTGGGCTTGGCTCATGCTCTTATGTCAATAGCACCCGTGGCATAATCAGAATTTGAAGCTGATGTACTTCAGGAAAACACACTTCAGCGTGAAGGATGCTATTAGTGTCATTTGGCTGTCCTCCACCTTTGCTGTTTTAGATATGACTAGTGTGAGATTTTATATATAATTCATCTTACATGTCAACAGGAAGGCTCTCCTCACACTCTGCTGTTGAAAACAAATGTTATGTGAATGAGGGTAAAAGATGTGCCCTTGTGTCTACGTGTGTGTGTGTGTGTGCGTGTGTGTGTGTGTGTGTGTGTGTGTGTTTACAGGTAGTTGTTAAAAAAAATTGTTTACACAACTGTTCATAAATTTGATGTTTTTTAGCTGGAATATGACCGATCTCATGGAGAACTTAAACGGATAGTTCACCCAAAAATGAAAATGTGCTGTTAATTTACTCATCCTCAGGCCATTCAAGATGCAGGAGACTTTTTTTCTTCAGTAGAACAGTAAAGAAGCTTTTAGCTGTAAGTGTGGTCCTTGGTGATTCATGAAATTCAAGTCTGCGAAAAGCATATCTAGGAACATATCAAGGAACACAAAATTAATACCCGTGGCTCCT